GTTATCTGCCGGTCATGGCGTTTCATTTCGTTGCAGCTAACGTCGTGGTGAGCTGACGCGCCTGTCAGCGTTCATATGGGGGTTAGGCAGAATAGCACCGGTATGCCCGACACTATTCTTGATGTGAATCCTTAGGTATGGCCCATTGTGGCCATGGGTTACATTGGGGCGTGCCGGTCTCTTCCTTGGTATTAGAGTTTTGACCCAGGCCCATACACTTGGACCTAGAGTGGTTGGCGGCGGTATGGGTCTCCGTCGGGTGAGACGGAGCCTGCGACCTTGGGGTCAGGCGAGGCGAAGCCCACCCCCAGAGGTCGGGCAAGGCAGAGCATGAACCCAAGGGTCGGGCGAGGCGGAGCCCGCCCCTAGAGGTCGGGCGAGGCGGAGCTTGCGGCCTTAGGGTCAGGCGATGCGGAGCCTATGGCCTCGGGGTCGAGCGAGGTGGAGCACGGACCTAAGGGTTGGCAGAGATGGAGCCCACAGCCTTGGGGTTGGGCGAGGCGGAGCCCACGGCCTTGGGGTCGGGCGAGGCGGAGCCCGTCCCTAGAGGTCGAGTGAGGCGGAGCTTGCGCGCCTAGGGGTCGGTTGGAGCTGTAGTCGTGCTCTTGACTGCTTGGATGAATCAATGTTGATGGTCATTAGCTCCATCTCTTCGGGTACCCTAGTATTGGTCCCCAACACCGAAGTTGAGCGGTTTTGACCATGTCATGCTGGCGTTGACCGCCACGTAGGACGCTAGACCGCATCTCAGCGACATGTGGGACCCACGCGTCACCCACTCATTCCCTCCCTCGCCTTCCTCTGGCTCCAGCAGCTCTAGTCGAGCACGGGCGCCTCACCCTCACCGCACAGCCGCGTCCTCTTTGTGGCGACGTCCGACCTAACCTTCACCCTACAAGCCTCGTCGTTCCACTTCACCGTCTCCCGGCGCTTCAGCGGCGACGTCCTCTTCGACACCTCCGCAGCGCTGGTGTTCAAGGACAGGTACCTGGAGCTGACCACAGCGCTGCTGGTAGATGGCCGGGCGTCGCTGTACGGGCTAAGAGAGCACAACAAGCGCACGTTCCAGCTATAGCGCAACGACACGTTCACGCTCTGGAACGCCGACATCACTACCTCCAACGTGGACCTCAACCTCTATGGCTCCTTGACGGTTGGGACAGACATGGTCGTTTCTATCTAAGTTATCCAGATCCTGTGCGCTTGCTTGCATCCACGCGTGCGCCGTGGCCACAGTGTCGCCTTGCACCGCCACCCGCGTCGCGTGCAGCCGCCTAGCACAGCGGCTCGCCGCCGCCACTCGTGGATCTCGTGCACCGTCGCCGTATGCGGACCTCGCTTGGCCCCGCAGAGATCGCCCGCGTCCACCCATCTAGCCCCACAGAGGTCGCGGGGAGCTCGCCATTGCGTGCCACCGCCTAGCGGGGAGCTCTTCGTGTCCGCCCGCCTAGCCCCGTGGGGAGCTCTCCACGTCCGCCCGCCATGGACCTAGCTCGCGCGGCCGGCGTGGACCTCACGGAACCGCCACGTTCACTCGCTACTCGCGCCGCCATATGAGAAGAGAGAATGAAAGGAGCAGCGGCGTCGACGCCGAGGTCTATGGCATCGGTGTCGGGTACCTAGCGGGCATACGAGCCGCAGCAGCATGGTGTTCGACGCCTTCCTAGCCTTGTCCTCCGCTGTCAGCTGCTCGTGAGGTCGCGCCGCCACCTACGAACTCAGCTGCGTTGAGCGACATGCAGGAGTTCGTCGTGCTCCTCGGTGCCTGCCCCACCTCAACCTGTCTCCGTGGAGAGGACGTGGCTGTGCGGCGAGGGCGAGGTGCCCATGCTCGACTGGAGCTGCTGGAGCCGGAGGAAGGAGAGGGAGGGAATGAGTGGGTGACGCGCGGGCCCCACATGTCGTTGAGATGCTGGCCAGCGTCCTACGTGGCAATCAACGCCAGCGTGGCGTGGTCAAAACCGCTCAACATCGGTCAAAACAGCCTTGCCCCCGCCCAGGTGCTAAAAGTGAACGGTTTTGACAGTTGGGGTACCGGTACTAGACGGTTTTGTAGTTGATGGTTAAAATTAGACCAACACAATAGTTGAGGGGCCAAAAGTGGACTTAATCCTATATTTTTTCAATCGTAGCGTCGTTGTCAACCCAAGTGAGTAGGCCGCTGGTTGGCCGGAAACCAGTGACTGGAATGGCTGTTGGGCCCAATTGAATGGGCTGGACGAAAAAAATGCAAGAAATTTTACCTTTTTATTATTAGGGAGGATAGAGGTATAGATAAAGACCGAGAGCCCAATTTTGGGAGCCTTCAAATCAGGTCAATAGTTTTGATTCAACTGTTTCTACTTTTGACGACTCTGTTTTCAAGAATACACTCTAGCACTAGCTCTCAAAGCAAGGTTCCCACAACCCTATTTTAGCGTCTATTGAAGGCCGACTATTGAAGGCGCGAAGGACGGATATCGCTATGCATATGGGGTTGGGCGAAGTCAAGCAGGTGGGCGGAGAAACTAAGTATTTCCAGGGCCTTCAATGGGCCGCTAAGAACGAGGGTGTGGGTCTGTGGGAGAGTGATTTGGAGGGCCTCTCAAATTTGAGGATTTTAGTAGAGGCTCTATTAGAGCTTTTTTTTTGGCTTGGACACTCAATTTAGTTTTGTGAACTGAAGTAGGAACATGCTAGAGTTGCTAAGAACGTTCGCAATGGGGTTTCCAAGCTGGTTTGATCATTCATAATATATATCTAAAAACACGTTCATGGCATAAGATTTATATTTTTAGACTCACTATGAAAAATAATTTCATAATATAATTCATAGTTTGTTAAACTATAAAGATGTTTCGAAATGGACAGTCAAAGATAGTAACATTTGATTTAAAACAAAGCTAACGTGACATGCTAAGAAGAACGGAGAAAGTATATAATGTGATGAATTTAATATATAGCATCATGTCGCTGTATAAAACAAGGGTAGTTCCGTAGGTTGAAGATGCTCAGATGTGCCACATTTGGTTCAGGGGAGTAGAGTTTTTCAGATAGTCTTGTGACCACAAGGGCTATCTCGGCTGTTCATTTTGCTTTCAGATTTGTGCTTGTAGAAGAGCGGAGAAAGAATATTACTTTAAGATTCGTGCGAACACTAGTACACATCTTTTTCAAGGCGGGCGTTTTTATCCACGGAGGTGGTTGCAATGCCTGCCACGGTTAATAAATTAACGTAATCCCATTAACCGAGACAGCGTTAGTTAATGTTCTCCAGAAAATAAAAAAAAAACCAAAAACAACTTACAACTTTCGATAATTGAACCCACGACCTGGCACTCAACACTATTGTGTCTCTACCATTGCATTGCACACTCATGCATGTCTATATATAATATGCTATCTTTTTATATCAATATTTTGTAATCGTATATTAGATATTTTATCTACTAAATGAACTCAAATAAAAAAACTTTTAACTACAAATTTTTAAATCTCGTTAAGTACTACAACTTTGAAATATGATGTATCTCCATCAGAGATAGTTTGACAAATTCAAAAAATCGAGTCTCAGAACATGTGAATTTCAAACACATATTTGAGACTCTAGAAAACTTTAAATTAAAAACTTGTCAATATCAAACATGTAGATTAGGTGGACCACTAGAACTTTGGTATTAACTATGTGAACATTTAAGATCGTTTAGGAATTCTAAATTTTAAATTCAAAATCTATAACCATTGAATACATATTTGGAACTCTAACCATCTTTAAATTAAAAACTTTTCAACTAAAAAGTTATAGATTCTATTGAGAACTATAACTTTCGTATAGACTATGTCAATATCCGAGATCGTTTAATAATTTTAAATTTGAAATTTCAAAATATGTGCATTTACAACAATATTTTAGGACTCTAAACCGTTTCAATTCAAAAACTTCAACTACAAAGTTGTAGATATCATCGAGAGCTATAATTTTGAGATAAAGTTTGTCTTTATCCGATTTCATATAAAAAAATTATGAATTATTTTTTGCTATACTCATTAACTGAGACGGACATCTTAAGACGTCTGCCTCCGTAAATCAATTTACGGAGGCGTGCATTTTTCAACCGTCTCCATAAATAAAACGACCGCCTTTGTAAATCGATTTTGTGCGAGACAGTCATTTTTTGGTGCCTCAGTAAATAAAATGATCACCTTCGTTAATCATCAGACATTAACTGAGGCAGTTGGCTTTTGTAACGACCTCGGTTAATGTTTGGGTAGTACCTCGCAAAATCATTGTTGTAGTAGTGGAAGACAGAAGTTTTTTTTGATACGAGAGAGGGAATTCAGATAGCCACAGGGCTCGCGGGCTTACTGTTCCCGTCGGTTGACGTTAGAATTTCCAAAGGAAAAGCAATGTAGTAAATTCCATAGAAAAGTTTTCTCAACTTGTTTGGAGCAAAGGAAACTTGTATTCTTTCCAAAGGAAAGGCTAACCTTGCTTCACAAGACATAGAAAAAAAGCATTCAAGGAAACCTAAAGGAAAATGCCCTACAATGTTTTCTCAAGTTCTCAAGCATGGAACCTCGATAATGATATGATTAAGACCCCCGGACGGACGCACGCCTCCCACCACTCACTGCCGCAGCGCTCGCATCCCTCTCCATTCTTATCCCTTCGTGTCATGCCCCACACCCGACGACGCGGCCATCGTTGCTTCCCTGGCCGGCAGCGGCGCCCTCACCTACCTCGCCATGCGTGCTCCCCCACTCAGGCGTCGTCCTTTCCCTCGGTGGCTCCTTCCCCTATCCCGACGTCCTCCTCTCCTACCCCGGCGGCTAGCTCCTTCCCCCACTCCGACGTCCTCCTCCTCCACCCCGGCGTCCTCACCCATTGGGAGGGACCAACGGCCGCGAATCCGGTGGCCTTCTCCCCTACCCCGGCGAGATCTAAGCAAGCCACTGCCCCTCCCCTACCTCGGTCGACGGCGCCCTCCCTAGATCCAGTAGCGTCTTCTCTCCCTCGGCCGATGGCGGGCGTGCGGGCACGCACCATTCAGCGAGCCTACGCCACCGTAGTTGCCGACTAGGTAGGTCATGGCCGCCCGGTGATACTGTGTTTCAAGTGTTTTTGGACGCTTTTTAGACATGTTGCAAGCCCATGTTTCAAGTGTTTCAGTTGTTTCAGATGTATGTTTAAATTATTTCATGCGGATGTTGCAAAGTAGATCAGAATGTTGCATATGTTGCAATGGTTGTATACGTATGTTGTAAGCGTCTATTCCCAATATTTTATCTATTTTTGTACACGTATGTTGCAAGTGGTTGAGACGCATGTCTCAAGTATTTCATGTATATTCTTTTGTATGTTACAAACGTTGTATCTGGATGTTTCAAAAGTAGATTGGGATGTTGCACATGTTGCAATGGTGTTTCAACTGTATGTTTCAAATGTTTTATTTGTTTTAGACGTATGTTGCAAAGGTTTTATCTGGATATTGCAAAAGTGGATCAAGGTGTTGCACGACGTGGCCAGTGGCTGTCACTATTCGAACGTCTGGATGCTAGGCGTACCGGTGGAACCTTGCTTCTTGGACACATGTGATATTTTTGTTTTCCTACGGTCCAAACACCCCAAAATTTCTATTACTGTATTTTCAAATCCTATAGTTTTATACTTTTTGCTCATTTCTATTCATACGTTTTTTTATTCCTTTGTTTTGGCATTCCAAACCACACTCAGCCTGTGGGTGGATTTGGTAATCTATATGATTGTTTAGGCCTACAAAGACCATCACCTATATGCTCTTGAGAAGTGGCTTCACAAGAACCAAACTCTTCACCCCAAAGGTCCAGTTCTTGGCTTCTGCAAAGGACATCCTGTTTATCCAAGATCCTGTGTTCAAACACTGCAGTCAAGACATGGATGGTTGCGAGAGGGCCTGCAAGTCCGAGAAAACGAGTTGGCTGCAAAGGTTCATAACAGAAGCACTGCGTTTTACTTTACCTAGTTTTGATGCTGATTTAATACCCCCTTTAGGTTGTTACACGTCCAAAGAGGACCTTCAATGCTCAGTCAGTTCAATCTAGTGGTAATGAAGATGGTCTTAAACCAACATTGGATCTATATGGTGAATGGCAACTGGAACCTCTACAACTTCCCCATGCTGTAAATGGTGTTGTGCCAAAGGTATTTTTAACTCTTTTTTACTATGGCTTGCCATTTGGATCCTTTGGTCTTCAGTCCTTGTTTTCTGGTGTTCCATACTGATTCATGCTAAAATATCTCCAAGAATGAACGAGGCCAAGTTGATGTATGGTCAGAGAAGTGCCTTCCGCCTGGTACTGTACACTTGAGGTTACCAAGATTATTCCAGGTTGCAAAGAGACTTGGCATCGACTATGCTCCTGCTATGGTCGGATTTTATTATTGCAGTGGCCGGTGCCTCCCAGTCTTTGATGGGATTGTTGTCTGTACCAAATTCAAAAGTGCTATCCTGGAGGTATGTTTTGATGGGAGAATGTTTTTTCAATATGTGAAACCTTTCAGCATGCTGTTATCATGATTTATACCTGATCTATTGTGTGATTTAGCGATGCATCTTATTAGAAGGTGAAGTTATTTAAACAATTGAAAACAAAATCCGAGAAGTTACTACTGTGAATATGAAGCCTAGTAATTTTTTTTTTTGGGGGGGTGGGGGTGCGGGGGGGGGGTTGCGTTGCGTTTGTGTCCAAAACAAGCAGTGTCCCTTTTCCTCATCACCATCATATTTCACACCATACACCGTCAGTCACTTCAGTTCTAAAACTGACACGATACTAATGCTTTCATACCCACTAGCCATATGCAGAAGAAGATGAGCGGAGACGGGCTGGGGAGAGGAAGCAGGAGGCGGCTCAGGCACTCTCCAGATGGTATCAGCTGCTCTGCTCCATTGTAACCAGACAGAGGTTGAAGGACTCCTACAAAACACCTTCACACGGGCTTGGTAATGAAGGGCTGCCCGAAAATGATAATGTCCATAGAAACACTCGCAGCAGTGGATCCTCAGAAAGGGAGCCTAGTTCAAGCAAACTGCAGACAGATGATGACCATGAGCATGAATTTCCAGAGGAAAACCAGAGCTTTGATGTGGAGACCTTTGTGAGGACGAAACGCTGCCCATGTGGTTTTTCTATCCAAGTAGAGGAGTTGTAGCTTTCATACTAGGAGTGCACATGTTTCTAACTGTTTGTAGTATGGCCTCTTTCATCCATTTCAAAGTCAGAATCCAAGACAGTTTCTTACTCACTCATTAATTTATGGAGTACTTATGTTGGCTCTCAAACTTGATTCAATTTCGCAGTAGCATCTTTATTGCATTCACCAAGAGAAATATTAATGCTTAATGAAAGGGAGAAGAATGTCACAAGAAGCAGTAGTGTGTGAGCTTATGCCACTGCAGAATCCGTAGCCAAGAACATAAAACATGAACAAATCAAATCTAAGCAGATATGCCTGAAATGAAAATCAGAATGAAAGAGAGCAGCTGGGGACGAAGGAAGGCCGGCCGGCCGATCACGCCGAAACGCTGCGGCTGCCGTCCGTGCTGCTGAAATCAGCTTTCCGGCACGCGTCCTCGACGATGCGCTCGATCCTCGCCTCCACCTGGGCCATGGTTGGTTGCCTGTCGGGGCGCTGCTCGGTGCACTCAATGCCGAGCTGCAGCAGCCGCATCATCTCCCCCTCGACGCGCGGCTCGTTGGCGATGGCGGCGTCGAACACCTCGGACGTCCACTCCTCCTGCACCACGGACCGCACCCATCGCGGCAGGTCCACGCCGTCGGCGCCTTCCGGCAGCGCGTGCAGGGGGGCGCGCCCGCTGAGCAGCTCCAGCACCACGACACCGAAACTGTACACGTCGGCGCTCTGCATCGTTCACCTCCGGAGCGTGGTACCCGGCCCCCGCCTCGGCGGCGCCGAGGCACCCGTGAGCTGCGCGATGCCGTAGTCGGAGACGTAGGCGCCGTCACGCGTCGGGGTGACGACGATGTTGGATGACTTGATGTTGCCGTGCGACGACTTGGCCCCGCGCCTGGTGGATAAACGCCACGCCGCGCGCCGCGGCCAGCGCGATGCGCGCGCGCGCCGTGAAGTCCAGCCGCGCACGGCCCTCCGCGCCTCCGTCTGCGAGGCAAGAAAAGAATGTGAACATGGTGTCCATCCATCCCATATGTACACGAGGAGAAGACATGTTCAGGGGCAGGGCAGGAACCGTACAGGAGGGCAGAGAGGCTGCCGGCGCCGACGAAGTCGTAGACGAGGAGCTTCTCCTCCTTGCTGTAGAAGTAGGCGCGCAGGCGGGTCAAGTTGTGGTGATGGAGCGCACCAAGCGCGGTGGCCTTGTTGCGGAACTCGTTCTCGGAGAGGTGCACCTCGCGGAGCCGCTTGACGGCAAGGACGGGCTCGCCGCCGTCGGGCGTGGCGCGGTACGTGGTGCCGTGCTGGCCCTTGCCAAGCACCTCGGCCGACGCCCGCAAAGCGTCTCCAGATCGTATGGCCTCTCCGGCGCTTTCCCCAGGAAGACCAGCTTCTTGCTCTCGCTGATCATCGCCGGCGCGAGCGGCGGGGCGTGGGACTGCTTCACGGCGTCCCTGTCCGTCCTCGCCAAGGTCACCGTTATAGGCACGGTGGCCTCGTGCACGTTGGCCGCCGCAGCACCTGCGGGCCTCCCCGCCGCCGCCGCCTAGCGTCGGCGGAGGCAGGCGACGAGCCCCACGATGAGCAGGAGAACGAACGTGGCGCCGGCGATGATGCCGACGATTGCCCAACGGGACAGGGGCTTCTTCTTTCTGATAGAAACATAACAGGATCACTGGCCATAGATCTAGCATACCTACTGACATTTGATGAAGTGTAAACCTTAGAACATGTACTAGTACGGGATTGACAGATAAAGTGAGAAAGAGATAGGGGTTGAGGAGATGCAAACTATCGACCGCCTTCGTAGAAGACGAGTTGGCCATGGGGTTGCTTGACGGTGGCACGGTGAAGCCCGGCGGTGAAGGCGCTGTCGCTGTGGCGACGGTGCAGAGGCGGCGGCGGCCGGTGGCGGTCTTTCCGTCGCTGGCAGCACCCCTCTTAGATCGGTTAGGGTTTTAGGAATGTAGGGGCGTTTGGCGGCTCAGGTGAACATCGTGCCTTGTGCTCCGGCCCCCACCGTGGTCTGTTGGACGCGGATCAAGGGCCCAATTGGCCGCGGTTGGAGATCATCTAACATTCTCCCCCTTGATCTCACCTTATGACTTAAATTCAACTTATTTACTTTATCTTGTTTCTATTCCATCACAGATCAGTGCATAGAGCGTGCCCCATCGTCACGGTCAGTTGCTATTAGATTAAACAGCTACAATGCACCTCTCTGTTTTGAAACAGATTCTCAACTAGGCCCTTTGTCGACAGAATATCGTCGGTAGTTCTACGATGGGTATCCCACGAAGGTAGATTGATCGGCAGAGATGCGTGTAATCAAGAACAAGAAGACAACAGAGACACAAAAGTTAGACAGGTTCGGGCCGTCAGCACGACGTAATATCCTACTCCTGTGGTCTATTGGATTATATTAGCTATCGTATGATATTGCGTGTGTTTTAAGGAGGTCCCTGCCCGCCTTATATAGTCTAGGGGCAGGGGTTACAAGTCGGTTAAATCTAGGAGATAACCGGTAAGTAATAACAGATTATAGGAATCATGGGATCGAACATATCCTAACATATCTCATAGTATCTTTAGGATATCTCCCTTGATGTCTTGCGGTACACGCCGAGCCGTGGCGTGCACCGTAGGTCTTCGTCTTGTGGGCTGGACCGTCCCTGGGAGCGCAGCCCATGTAGTCTGTCATGTGTATCCGGGGTCGTACCCCCACAGCTAGTCCCCGAGCGCCTTGTATCCGCTGTGCAATACCGTCTTGAGCTTGTCCGAGCAGGTGTAAACAAAACCGAGCAGTCAGACTCATGGTCCGACCACCATAATGAGTCACCGAGTAGTTGTGTACCGTAGCCGACCAGCTTAACTATCCGGTCGAGCACGAGCTTACCCAAGTAAGGCTTGCCAGAAGGATGTAAGGAGCTTAAGTTCAAAATTAAAAATTTCCTCATAGTGGACCAAGTGTGCCCACTTAGAGTCCGACCACGAGAAAGGAAGATGATCTTCTTCAACTTTAGGAGGCGCGGAGTCTTCCAGATTAAAGAAAACACACTCACCGCAAGGTGAAGTGTGCCCACTTAGTCCCCAAGCCTGACAGTAGGTGACGTGGTCACATGGTGCCAGGGTCAGAAAGCAGAAGAAAGGCATGGAACTAGCCAAGCTGGCAAGTCCACGGGTGGAGCCCTAAAATGAAAAGTGCACATTCATCGCAAGGTGAAGTGTGCACACTTAGTCCTCAAGCCTGACAGTAGGTGACGTGGTGCCAATGTCAGAAACAACAGTAACCAGAAGAAAGTCCCCAGTGTGGTGAGAAACCAAATCATAATGATGACGTAGTCCCCGAGCCACAAGTGAAAATCTTGAACAAATCAAGAAGTGCCGATGACTCAAATCGTGGAGAAAAAACCAGAGTAATGGCTGTACAGTAGAAATTACTAAGCCTTGATGGTGCTGCGGAGAAGTCGGTGAATATTCGGTGTGCAGTACCAAGTTGTGTCGAAAAATGGGTGACATGGGCTGCAGTTGTGCGGAAGCCCAGGTAACAGCCCACCACACCGCTTCGGTGAATTCAGAAAGGCGCAAATCATGGTGCGGTTTCCCAAAAACCCTTGAATGCAAAAAGTGGAGAGGGTGTCTTTATAACTGCATCACCGCACTCCGCGCTCCCACCTTTGCCACTTTGCTACTTCATCTTCCTCCTTGCCCTTGCACTCCCCCATTCGCATTCACACGCGCTCCATTGCTAGGGCTAAAAGCTTGCGTAAAGAGGCCAGTTCCATCCAGATCTGAGGGATGGCGCCGAAGAGGGGAGGTGGAAACATGAAGAAGGCGGCCGCCAGGACGAGACGTGACAAGGAATGGGTCCCATCCCTCATGGGGGAGACAGAGCTCAACGAGATGGTGGAGGCGGGCGTTCTTCCTGATCGAATCATTGCCGGATGGCGTCCGGCTGATGATGAGCCCTATCTGCTGCCACATATCGACGAAATCGTTGTTTTCGAAGATTATTTCTGGTGTGGGTAAGGGCTTCCTGTACATCCTTTTCTTGCGGGATCTGTTGGAGTATTGGAGAGTGAGTTTGTGCAATCTGCATCCGAACACTATCTTGCACATTTTTGTGTTTATTCATTTCTGCTAGGCGTATCTTGGCATTCTGCCCCACTTCAACCTCTTCTAACACCTGTTCTAGCTAAAGAAGAAGGGCGGGGGCGGTTCCAAAGTGGTCGGCAGTGTGTATCTGTAGCTCTGTGACGGGATGGTGGGCGAATACATTATTGTGCTGCTGAATACCTCACTGAAGGGGTGGAATGCCAGGTGGTTCTACATGAAGCAGAGTCACCCCGCCATCCGGTGCGATGTCGACCACATTTTGGAGAATCAGAGGAGCTAGTCGGAGAAGCCGACCAGTGCCGATATGGAGAAGGTGAAGGAGCTCCTCGAGCTAATGAGGGGCATGAAGATAAACGGCGTGGTGGTGGCAGTGAACTTCATAATGCGCTACGTCCAGCCCTGTAAGGAGAGGGCCCACACAGGCTTTGACTTCAAAGGGGACACCGACGGCACCCAGGAGAGGACAGAGAGACTGACGAAGGAGGTTGTGCTACACCGGGCCGCTGAGCTATTCGCTCCAAACGTGCCGTACAGCGTGCCAGGGCAGCCAAAAATCTTCAACTGCACGAACCCACCTCCGTAGGTAAGAATCTCGACTGTTGGTCCTGGTGTTTTTTTATCCTGTGTCGTGCCGAGCAGTGGACTGATTCGCTTGTGGAAAGATCCATTTGCAGGAACAGGTGGCGTACTTCTCGGGCATGTCGAGGAGCGATTGGCCAAAGGCAGTAGATGCCAGGCCGACCATGCAGCCGGAGGAAGGTGCCATCAGCGCCTCATCCGAATCTGAAGGCGAAGGCACTGGTCGGAGGGAGAGTCCCCCCTGGTATCAGAGAAAGTTCGGGGGAAAAGGGCGGCGCAAGATGAGCCGGCCTGAAAGAAGAGGAGAACAGCGGATGTAGCTC